ATATATATATATATATATACATATATATATATATATATATATATATATATATATATATATATATATATATATATATATTTAAGGCAGTCAAAAATTTTGACAAAATAATAAGTAGGACTTATTAGATAGTTCTGTTTATTTCATTATTTTGATGTATTATCCATTATTTATGACTTAGTAACTCATAATTTTCACTGTTTTATGTCATGATTATTATAAATTTTTCTTATGCGGCTTCCATAGTTCTCTTCAGTTCACACAGGTGTCCTAGTAGAGTAACCACAGGTGTATTTCATCACATTAACCATGATGAGATACTGCTGACCATGATAAACACAAAACTGATGTGCGACACCACAGATTCAGAGCCATTCAGAACATACTGTATTTTGTCCTTAATGTTTAGTTATGATGAGTGGTATTTTGCAATAGTCCACAGGAGACTGGGCTACCCTATGTGACTTAGCAAAAAAGAATGCAATCGATTAAAAAAGAAAAAGAAAAAAAATGTCCTGTCACTCAAAGTGCTCGTGGCTGGTTAGGACAATTATGGATGATTATATATAATGGCTTTTTGCTTTTTTTCACCGTGCTTGATTAGAAAACAGTGTGTAAATGTCCAAATACATTTGGGGACCACTGTATTTTACTATGCGTAAATACTCTGTATAGTGTACATAAAACAGAGCTATAAAATGTAATCTATCCACATCTCATCTGCTCGCCCACAGTCACTGTCCAATCAGTATGCTTGCTCATCCTAAATGACATCTCCCTGAGAACATGAGAGCTAATGAAATAACCATCAGATTGTCATTACAGGGCCCGGCCAAAGCTTATGCAGCACCTGTGCAGCACTGCGGGACTCTAAACCCACTCTGTGTGTGTATGTATGCAGGGATGCATGTTTGCATAATTTGGAGCGACAGACAAATGATCTGTTCTCGCCCTTTTCCCCAAGTGACTCTTCTTGCCCCTCACACTGAGGCAAACGCAAGGCCTTGTAAGACCGCTGAGCACATGAGCCTGCTGATCGTATGTGATGCTGCCACTGCAGCTCGTCTTCAGAGATATTTCTAAGAAATAGTTGCCCGCCTTGTTTCTCCCTCTACTTTGCTGTGTGTGTAAGCTGACAGCAGATGGTGTTTTAATAAAGTCCAGTAGGAATATGTGTGTGTGTGTAAACAGACAGCGTAGTGCCAGCTTAGTAATTGCTGGGCATTCTTACAGATCACACACAAACTGAAGCGAGGAGGATTCCAGCAATCACACACACGCAGATATTCCTGCCCATGAACACACACACACTCACACCTTGCAGCTGCAGCCAAAAAAACGCAGCTGCCGCTGGGAGACAGGGAGAGAGTTAGAGAAGGAAATATAGACTGAGAGAGGGTGGGTCTGCGCTTTAGGCCAGCGCGTCGGCCCCTGACGACTGCGCTGGCAGCGACCCAGCTTGGGTCGGCCCCTCCGACTCGCTGCAGAAGACTTCCTGTGCTCCTCATGAGTGTGTGAATGATCCCGTTCCAACACATAACTGACAAAACCACTGCAATGCACGGCCGCTTTTTGGAAAAAAGTATTGTTGGAGAGTGTGGTTACTTCTGTCCGTTGTGCAGGTGTTGTTTCAGGTACGTCTAATCCATGTATGCAGAGTTTTGGTTCCTCTTATCCCAGTTTTGTCCTCACCTCAACATGCAAACGCAAACCTGTACACACAGTAATAATCCTCTGTAATTGATCTGTTTGTGTGTGTTTGATTTGTTGGGTTTTTACATGTTGCAAAACGGCAGCATTTTATCATGTGCCTGCAGGCCTGTCACTCCCTGAGCTGACACCTCCAGCATTCCCTCCAACTGCAGTTTGTTTTCCGTATTACTTCTATAAAGCACAGGTTGAGATAGCAACAGACTATTTATAACTGCTTCAAAAACAAATAAACACAAAGCCAAGCATTTGCATTTGCTATGAGGTCTCTCCGCTTTAACTTCCAGGAAGTAAATTTGGAGAATTTCTATGGCATAACAGAAAGACAAGTAAATAATATTGTTCCATTTTCTTTTTAATTTTACTGTTGATAACATTCAAGTTATTGTGAGAAAAAAAATACATACGCGTGCACACATACACAAACACATATGTGTTTTATGTTATGCTACTTAATAACTGTCTGATATTGCCACTCATAATTGATGTCATGCATGAGGATTCATGTCATCACACCTTAATGTTTCTGATCAACATCGGGAGCTATATGTGGAACCTTTCTTTAAGTTTTTTTTTATTTTTTAAATAATTGTAGCATAAATCTGAATGTCTTTAAACAAAAACACACATGAATACAACCTCATAAATATAAGAAGGTTTTAGATAGGTTTTAAATATGTATCTGAGTTTATTAAGCACGTCTCTCAAATATAATTTCAGTAGTACATATATTAACTAGAAAATTAACAAAAATGTGTTACTGCAGTTATATATAACACAGCAAACATAAATTAATTTAGATATGACTCGTTATACTCTATCTATCATATGTGCAATTATACATGCTGACTTCTTTAAAATAACACCACAGAATTTGTGACTTGTGGACATATTGACTTAAATTGCCATTGTGACTGTAAAGTTTTCAATTATATTGTACAAAACTAGTCTTGCAAAAAAATGTTTTTATTTTTTAGTAATTTTAAATAAGTTGGAGCAAATAGGAGAGCAGTCAAAAAGCATAAATGCAATTTTTAAAATGCATCATTTGATGCACCTCATGAAATTGACTGAAAGAATGTAATGTACATAGCTGAATTTTCATTTGTGTGTTAGTATAATACTTTATGCATATTCTACAATGAACCACAAATCTAACTGGCAAAAAAATAACTTTTACAGAACGTGGCAGTTATAGACTTTTATCGAGAATTTCCTTGAAACAACTTTTGTCAAGTGTGTTTTTAAAACAGTGCAGTCCTGCTCTACACCATGTCCGTGCTGGGCATCTCTTTGGGTTTAAAATCTTACGATTCATCATTTAAGTCAAATAAACAAAGACTGCTCAGGGCACAAGATATAGTGACCAGTTAAATATTTTATGACAACATTTACCATATAGTGAAATTAACTAAGGCATATTTCACACAGAATTGGAGGGAGAGAAAAAAATGAGCGTAAGATGGTATTCCGGTTTATTTTCTCAAAGTTGGATGAAAGGAGACGAGCACGGTGCCAGAGGTCAGACACAATGTTAGATAATTACTGTCTTGAGTGATTGAGTTGAGCTGAAAGGCAAATGTTGACTAACGCCATAACCTTTTAACTTGTTAATCCCTGCTTTTCAGAAGAAGTGAAAACGTAGCCACTCGTTACCGTAGGCTACATATGCCATCAGAGGGAAGTAAAGGAGGAAAAACGCTTTCAACATATGATCCTGCAAGTTACCTCACCTAGCTTGACTATCATTAGCCCGCTAACACAAGCCTTCATTGCCAGATCACAGACTGTGCCGAGAATGATCTTTATCGCAGGGATCTTATAATCATGAATAAATCATAAAGCAGATCTGTGAGTGAAGGATATCAAGAATTTAAACTAATGGTTGTAGTTAGTTAGTGTGTTGTTGCTGGTGTGGTGTTGAGCTTTGTGCCAGAGCCTGCAGTCGCATGTGGATATAATTTCAGCAGGACGTGTTTTACGCAAATCAAATAAAAGAGTCTGAAGAGAGAGAGAATGGGGACAGGTTGTAGAGAAAGTATTCCAAAAACAATATTCCAAGACACAGATGCATCAGTGGCCACGTTTACATGGATTGCAATGATCTGTTAACAACGCTAAGAATAATTGCCATTTAGGCAGCACTAGCCAATTTCTTTTGGGATTATATACATGTACAGTATTTTACTGTCCATCAAACAGAAATATTTTAGAAAATAATATATTTTTTATTAAATAATAAAAATAATTAATAATAAAGAGTACCTTATTTCTCATATGTGACGTCACTGATTTGCACATAACATTAAATCCAAAGAAAAGAGAATTGAGGCTCTGATTCTCTGATGCATTGCTCATTTAGTATGGGCAGTTGTACTCACATGCTGGTGAAAGAGGGCTCACCTCACATGGCTGTGAACGCAGACAGTTAAAGGGTGATTTACCCAGAAAATCTGAACAGTCCAATGTTTCAGTCTGTCAGTCACAGTAATAATGATGGAAACTCTGCAAACGTGTGTGTGTGTGTGTGTGTGTGTGTGTGCTCATATAGTGTGTGATTAACATCTGTCTCTGCTCTGATGTGGACGTATGAGGAACGCATCATCAGATACCGCTCCATAAAGCTGCTCTTCTGGAAGACACACACGCACATACACACTGTGATGTGGCTTTGTGTTAAATGAATGTCGCATATAGTTAATGTTTCATACTCATTTCCCAGTCATTTCATGCTAGCCTGCATATGGCATGAGTGAAAAGTAACAAATCAAATGCTGATCCTGATGATCACTAGGCTCTGGCCTAGTAGATGTACAGTAAGAGTGTAGAGTTAAATAATTAACATGGGAAGCATAGCTTAGATCATTTGGCCATGAATGAATGAGGAATGTTTGAGTTCATATAAAAAGCTTCAGATTTTAGGATCTTGACAACTCTAAACAGAGTTTAAGATATTGTGGATATCTCATCTGAAATTCTGGAGGAGAAATGATTTTCCGAAAATGTACAGAGATTATGAATTACTTCTCAGGAGAATCCCCCCCCCACCATTTAATACTATTGCAGCATTGTTATTTATTTTAATTTCAGGAAATCAGCCACCTTTAAATTGTTGTTTAGATGGAATGTTAAATGTTTTTGAAGGGTTGATTTGCCCTCAAAATGAAAATCGTTATAATTTACTAACCCTTATGCCATTATAAACTTGTATGATATTCTTTCTTACAGTACATATAATAGAAAAGGAGGTATTTAAAAAAATGTTCATGCTACTTTTTTCCCTACAATGACATCGGATGGTAATTTACAGTCAACCTCCAAAAAAGGACAAAACAGTGCAATCAAGAAATCTAAAATATAGTTCATATAAAAGTGCATGTGCACATAATTTCAAGTTTGAAGAACAGTCCTGATAGTTTTAAGCAGCAGACTGAAATTTAAGAATAAATTTCAGAACGACAAGAGTAAATGCCATTTTGGGGTGTAATATTCCTGAAATAAAAAAAAAAAAATTATAAAAAAAAAAAACACATCAGTATCTGAAGTAAGCACAAACAAACGATTATTAGAATAAATAAATAAATAAATAAATAAATAGACAGACAGACAGATAGATAGATAGATAGATAGATAGATAGATAGATAGATAGATAGATAGATAGATAGATAGATAGATAGATAGTAGCCACATTAATATCACCAAATAAAAATGTAATTATTAAGTTTAGGTAAGGAGCAACTTTCTGACATCAGAATGAGTAAGATAGCATGTTATCCTGCAAATTCCTTGTGTGTCACATCTGTCTGTCTGTCTCTGAGAGTTCATCTAGATTAGGAAGGTGACACTGTCAATCTAATCCATCTTCTTGTCCTTGCAGGAACACGTGTGTGTGTGTGTGTGTGTGTGTGTGTGAGTGTGTGTGAAATGCAAATTTTCATTGTTGCGATAAAAATAAATAGACTAGCCAAGGACCGTAGGGTGTGTGTGTGTGTGCATCACCTTTATGGGCAGTGACAGGCGCTCGTCACTGTCGGCCGTTTGTGAGCTGAGCTTTGATGCGGGTGACTGTAACTGCGAGGGAACCGCATCAATAGATCCGTGTTGACAAGCTTCATATTCAAGGGCACATTGAAGCTCATTCGGAAACTTTTACTCTGGTTTAATTGTTTCCCAGTAGGTGAAGAGATGCATGCTGCAGTATGGGATCTCTTTCCAAACATTTGACTCATTACTTATTTAGATTTCCTGAGGATCTGTTTAATATCTCCTATACAGTTTCAGACGAGATCTCACCTATGCCTTAAACTGTGCTCCGATTTTTCAAGATCCCAGAGTCAGCATTAAAAAATTGTAAAATGCAAACTCAAACATTTCAGATTAAATTATTCTATGACTAAAAGATCTAAGCTACTACACACAATTCTTGCTATGCACTCTTATTGTATGTCAACAATTGCCTCATTTGCGTCTATTTTTAGTTAAATATATATGTATATGTAAGACCTGAACATTAGAATTGGCATGAGAGCAATGTTATACAATTGCTTACTTGTCTGTTTGAAGTTATAATCCAATATTTCAACTTCAGCATAATTACCATAACACTAAACCCACTCACACGTGAAACTATTTACAAATAGCAAAATGTAAAAAGATGATTTAGACAACTTTAGAATCAAATAGTACATTCATGTAAATGTTGTGCTACAATTTATTTTTTCTTTTTGTGTTTCTTCTGTCAGTACATCTGAACCTGGAGTGCATTAGACTTTCAATGTAATAATAATAATAATAATAATAATAAATGCATTTTTGTGCCGATTAACATGTTACAGATGCTGTCCATTGATCTTGTAAGGAATTTCTGGAGAAATAAATGAGAAATTGTTGATAGTTAACATAAATAGAGCTTTTGTCAGTCATCAGAGATCTGCTTTGGTTGGATATAATACAAGACATTAATGCTAAAGACCTGATATTGCTGCAATCGTCAAATGTAGCCATTCTTCAGAAGCAAAAGCAAAGACAGACAGACAGCTAGACTGCTGGAGATGGTTTGGGGGTTGGGTAGTGCTCCGTTGTGTAATTTTACTCTAGTATGGAGGGTGTGTGTCACTAGGGGGCGCTTTAGTACAGTCGTCTACCCTCCAGCACACCAGACACACACTCAAACAAAGCCTGAGCAATACTCAACAATACCAAAAACACACGCATGTTCCTCAGCATCACAGTCTCAACATGCTACAGACATGCTTGTGGGATTCAACTAACGCTGAGAAAAACAACAGCTGCTGATGTTCAGCATATGAAAAAGAGCACTCAATATTGCACGTATACATGAAAACAACAGTATATTTTATTGAACATTATTCAGCACAAGGTCCAGTGTGCATACACAAGGATGAGCCGTGCATCTCCGCCAGTATGTGATGTAAACGGATCAGTTCTGTACAGATGACACTTACCTGAAGGCCGTTATTAGAGTGAGAGTGAGAGAAAGCCGGTACACAAACCCTTACCGGCCCTCAGGATGAGAGAAATGCACGGAGACCGAGACGAGAAACAAAAGAGCAAAAATCAAATGATACTGAGATGTAAACCGATCATGACGTGTCAGCTGTAGTGTGTGCAGGGTTTGGGCTCTGTCAGATAGCTTTAACAAAGTGGCCCAGGCTGCGGTCGACATCGGCACTTTCCAGGAAGTTAGTGTGCTCTGTTGCACTGGTCCTCTCAGTCATTCTCATTGTGGAGTGCATGCAATTTGTGCAAACTGCAATTATAACCCCGTTAGCTTCAGAAGAGCTCTTTAGGTATGTCAGTCTGGGCCGCCCCCGGCTGGGTAGCGGCACTCAGGCGAACGAGGGGTTCCTGCGTGGCCCGCACCACCCGAGCAGAGCGTAGCAGGGTGGATAAAGGGCTGGTGAGGGCGGAGGGGGTTGTTTGGGGTATGAGCAGGCAGCTGCGTGAGTGCTCTTGTTGACGTTTTGCAGCTAAACAGTACCAGCTTGCTGGAGCGCTTAGCTTCTCCTCTCCCACTGCCCTAATGAAGTCCTGAAATGTTTCCTGGCTGCCTCATATGGCTTTATTTAGTGTCTCAGTGAGAAGAACCATTACTAAACACATACACATACACGCACGCACAGAGAGAGAGAGAGATAAAGGTGAGTCTAGCATGCTAACATAGTACTGCTAGCATCAATGGCAAACAAGCAGCACATAAACGGCAACGGGAAAGGGATAAGCATTGTGTCAATATTGAGAGGGAGAAGGAGGGTAGAAAAGGAAGGACCCCCTTTGCTTTGTGAACGTGTAATGGCACTTCATTTTAATTTTATGGTTTGCCAGTGCTCCGCAGAGGGAAATTGTTTTCTATGTGGTTACACAGCCTGTCAAGAGAAAGCGAGAGAGGGAAAGACACGCACGCCAAATAAAACAGCTGTGGTGGCAATTGAATTTGTATTCACAGTAAAGTAGGTTAACCCAGTTAAAAGTCAGAAATCCAATAGCGACAGCCGATCGGCGAGAGCGAGGCATCTCTCCCGGGGCTGCGGAGACCCGTTCTCATTTGCTGGGTGTCTTAAAAGCATTGCAATATATCAGCATGCTAAGAGATAACGGCATGTAGGATCAGGCGTGCGGGGAAGGAAAATGTGATGCACTTTTCATTTGCTCTAACATGTGGCTTCCCCTTTCCCTGTGTTGTTTTTCTTTATCGGATAGACCGTCGGAACGCAGGTTCAGACGTTTGTCACAGTCTGTGGCTCAGCACTCATTGTCTTTGGGAGCGTGCACGTTTTATCGGCTCGATCTGTCGAGTGAGGCCTTCCGCCCCCCCGCCGTCTTGAACGAGAGAGGATGTTTTCATAAAAGACAGAGAATAGGGAAATGACAGCTCCCCCTGCCTTTGTTATGGGAATATATGGACTCCCCCTGGTTCATTGACTTTTTATTACAGACTGAGTAAAACGACTGTTAGCAAACAGGGGCAAATTTGTTGCAGCCATTTGTTTTGTAATGTTTGAATCGTTTGTATTTCCTGTGTATTCGTATGCTAGGATTGATAGATGAATGGAGCATCATTTAGAGCAGCGCTGGTTTTGCTTCAAGATGCAGATTTTGATCAAGTGGGGACCCAACACTCTGCCAGATTTGTACAAAAACCTTTAAATTGAATGTTTAAATCTATTCATTTAAATAATTCAAACAGGACATGAGCTGACTAGTCTGAACAGCAGAGGTGTGATTTACCAACCTAACACACAGAACAAACACGGAGCCAAATATTGTAATATGCTACCTTCACATGCTATTGGAGTTATCGTAAAATATGAGCTTTCCATTCAGAAATTGGATATGAAGATCTTCACAACTGGGAAATTGTGATAATTTTGACACCCCAGGTTTCAGAGTTTGGTGCGCCATAAACTTTAAACATAGCGGAGGAGAGAAATATAACTGTATTGATTCATATGTTTTATTTTTTCCTTTTTTTCCTTTAACATCAACATTGCATTCTCTTCACTTTACAGTCATTATATATATATATA